ATATAGCTGTTTCTCATGAAGGACGCGACAAAACATTTGGTGAAATTCAATTCAAACTCATCTTAAGTACTCAAATATCACAGAGTCTATATATATATATTACAAGACCACTGCATACATGGCAGTTAGATGAAATACACAAATAGTGTTCCGCTAATAAGGCCTATGCTGATGACTGTGTTCGAAAGTACATGAAAATATTCAAATCTTACTCACCATAGTCAGAGGCTATGGCATAGACCTACTATGTGGCAAAAAAGTTCTAGTGAGTTGAACCAATCCGAGCACTTTAAGACTGCACGAAGCTTTCGATCGATTTTTTCACTTTGTAGAATACGCATTACAGTATATATTCTGAAGTTGTTTTGACCTAGTGACATTGTCTGACTAAGAAATGTCTGACTAAATGTCTGAGGATCTTGATGTCTAGTCATCTTCGACGTAGATAGAATCTAGATTTTCTATCATTCTGAAATGAATAAACAAAGTATGCCAATAACAATTGACAATATTATTTTTGATAACATTTATTAAACTTCTGTGAAAGTACATCTAAATAAAAATTTGCTTAGATGGTTTCCAGATTCGCATTGGTAGTGACAAAAGTTGTGCAATTCTTTCAATGGTGCATTTTAATGCAGATCAAGCACGTATAGTCAGACATTCAGATTTATTTTACGGGATTCATTATATTAAGAGTAATGACAGATAATCAGACTTGACTGAAGTATCTTTTACAGTTGTTAGTGAAGGTTATATAGCTGTTTCTGATGGAGGATGCGACAAAACATTTGGTGAAATTCAATCACATTATTCTTGGAGACGATTTGCTGCTGTTGATTTGTTTTTAAAACGTTGTACTGCTTTTCAGATTCGAAAATCAGTTAAGCAACATGTAGTTAGTAAACCAGTTGTTTCTGTAGGTGTAATGACACGTTTACGGATTGATCTTATCGATATGAGAACACGCCCAGATGTAATAACAATAGATATGGTTTATAATAGGATTTTGCATTGTATCGATCATTTTTCTAAGTTTCTTTAGTTGGGCATTTGCGTTACGTAATAAAACAGCGGCTGAAGTAGCTTCGAAACTGAGAGAAGTGTTTTTGGCCTCCACGTTTGTTGTATAGTGATAATGGCAAAGAATTTATTGCTAACGTCATTGTTGAATTAAAACATTTGTTCCCGGAAATGTGTTTTATACGAGGTCATTTGCGTCATCCACATTCACAAGGCTGGGCGGAACGAGCTAATAGTGTTTTAATAGTTGCATTGGGTAAATGGATGTCAACAAACAATTCAGATCGTTGTTCAGAAGGCCTTTCACCGGTTGTTTATGGAATCAGTACAAGAATATCAAGTGTAACAAAAACAACACCATTTGAAGTCATGTTTGGACAACCACCGCGTTCGGATTCAGATTTTTGTAAAGTTGTTAAAGAAAATAATGTTGAGGATGAAGATCAGTTACCAATAGTTACTGCTGAAGGTGATGACGGAGGAGCTGTTGATATACCAAGACCTCGATAGATACTATTGCTAAAATGCTGCGTCACGTACTAGATAATTCCTTTTTTATTCTCAAAGATCAGTAGTATAAGCAAATTAGGGGCGGAGCGATGGGCAGTGCTGTTACACAAATCTTAGCAGATGTTTAGATGCAGGAGTGGAAACAAAAGCTGCTAGCTATGCAAATAAGTGAAAAAGAGTTATTTTTTCGATTCCGTAATGACATATACATGACCACCCAGGAGATGTTGAGATTCTTAAGTACATGAACGACAAAGATCCAAATATAAAGTTGACATATGAGACAGGTGATAATATCAATTACCTAGACGTTCGGATAATCAAAGATTCGGACAAAAAACGTTTTAGCACAACTGTGTATAGAAAACCAGCTGCGCAACCCTATGTTTTTTCATTTGAATCCTCTCACCCTTTACACATTAAGCAAAATATTGTGTATCCATTCTCCGAGCTATTAGAATTTGCTCCGATGTAGGTGATTTGAAAAAAGAAGTATTTGAAATACGGATGAGATTATTGTTGAACCAGTACCCGAGTAAATTTATAGACGTAAATACTGTTCGACTAATGAAAGACATGAGATTGCGGAACTTGGAATCTATTTACGAATCACAAGCGAAATATGAATAATGCAGAGCAAAAATTCGGGATGTCAACTGGAATCGCCCAACGGAGATCGAAAAAAGGCAGTAAATCTATTACTGCCAGGAAATGATCTATTAATTCATTTTACATTTGTCCCATCACTTAAGAGTTTCGGAGCAAAATTCCATCAGCTATGGGTGGGCGCGTTTAAGGATACACCATTGGCAGATGTTCATCTCATATTTGCTACTAGATTGTCCGAGAAGTTCACAGAAATGTTGATTCGAAAAAAACCTCCAAGACCTTTGATAAAAGTACAATCGGCTACACATCGATAACTTATTTATTTAGATCTCCAACATTCATACAACGTCATCAATATCAATAATTATAATCATCAACAGCATTTATTAAAATTTCAAAGTTCAACAGTCAAAAATTTATTCGGACGCAAAAGAAATGTTGCGGCTGAACTCACTACCATGCCGAATATTCGAAAACATTCGTCTGAAAATTTCTCTCATGAAACATTAGTCCAAAACGTTTTTCTTTATTAAAATGAGATTATCTATCTATATTTCTTTTCCTAGTTAGTTTCATACATCATCAGAAATTAGTCCGCGAATTTTCTCTTCATTAAAAAATGATTGTTTTATACTCTTTTTCCTATTGAGTTTTATACATTTATCATTTCCTTATTAAAAACACAGCCGTCCAGATAGAGTAGTATTTTCTTGCCTCTCAACAATTGCGTATAAAAAGACATATCACCTTCAATTTTCTGCATAAAAATTTCTAGTTATGTTCTCTTCAAGACTTTGAAAAAGAATTCGAAAGCGCTCAGTCTTTTCTTTTCACTATTTTACCATATACACATTTTTTTTTCTCTCTATACCATTTCTTGTTTCTACAAGATAAAAATAAAAAATTCAAATAAATATCTTCTGTGTAATAATAATAAAAAACCAGTTACTTCGCGTATCAAATAATTATTCTTTTAATCGATGGAGGAGCTGTTAATATAACAAGTTGTACATTAAATTCAAATGAATTACTTGATGATGTTGATAATGATGTAAATCGCCTTGTAAAAAAATTAACAGACGATGCTCTTGATACTGTTTGTAATTCTATTCTTGATTTATCTTCAAATTTTCACTCAGATGTTCTTTCTCAAGCTTCATTATCTTCTATAGATTTTAATTTGCCATCATCATCTAACATTCTTCTTGGTTTACAATCACCACCACAGCACGATGCCAGACGAAAAAGAGCAACAGATAGTTATTTGAATATTGTAAATAAAGAAAGAAAAGGGTATGATGCACATTTAAAAAGTAAATCGGTATTGTTAAATATTAATAATTGTGTTGGTGTATAAATTAATACGGTTGATTGAACGAATACAGATGCTAAACTTTTACCATGTTTGATAATCAAAAGAAAGAGAAAAGGATGATATGACATTTAAATTAGTTTGTAAATTTGGTAAGTTACAAAATTCATACACGGTTCAAAATCGTATTGATTTGAAAGAAGCCTGTCAGGCTGATTTAAAAGCAATTGATGTTTAGGAACTTGACGATATTTCTTTTATAGAAGCGTGTAAATTATATGTCCGTGGTGCTCTAAATGGAGTAACTTGTGATTGTAAATCACAATATGCTACTAAACATTGTCCGTGCAAAAAATCGAATGCTGCGTGTTCAACAAAATGTCATTCGAAACGTGGACAATGTAAAAATATGGGATAGTCATATGGTGGTTCTCTTATTTTTTTTTCGCATTTCTTTCTTTGTTTCACCTAACGTTTTGTCATAAGAGTAGGTTACATTAAGGTTTTCTAGAAAAATGGGCCCTCTGCCTGCGCAAATTCTTTTTGACTATACTTCAAGGTACAGAACCCGGGATTGTTTTATTCGAAGGAGTTACTTACTCCTTCAGATGAGGGGAAGGGATTTCTTTATTCTTGCTTTCTTTAATTATGGAGAGCGTTGAAACCTCTAAAACCTTAAAATATCATAAGAGGTGTTCCAGACAGATGCGGTTTTCTGCAGAACCAGAGCCTAATTAAAAAATTTCTTCCTCTCGTCCGAAGGAGTATCGAGTGCCCCGATAAATAAAAAGAACTGCAGCTCTCTATAATGAACTATATTTGAAAAAAATTTGCGCGACGTTTGACCACTAGCTCAAAAATCGATTTTGAGAAAAACGCTACGACCCGCGTACACGAGACCCGCTAATTAGCGCTTTATGAACAACTCAAAGACGATAAAAGATAGAGATTTGGGGTTTTCAGCAATCGAAAGAAAACAGTTTTGCCCATGTTTTCTTAAGCAAAACCTTTTTCGAAAAATATTCGAAAGATCGGTTTTCTAGGAGGTCTTTAGAAAATCAGTTTGGATCTCCGGATATTGAGATAGCAATCTATCAGCTTTTTTCCATAGATATATAATTCAGAGTGTCCTCTGAAAAATGGGACCCAACCGGACTCTTAATTTTCCCGGGCTCAGGTGTGGCATCGCAATTCCTGAGACTCCCAGAATCAATATTTCTTTAGGTGAGGTAATTCCGAAGACGAATGGAAACATAGGTAATGAGCCACGCTGACTCTCGTGGCAACATTTATTTTTCAAATAAGTTCCAGAAACCTAGTGAAAATCTATATGAGGTAAAATAACCCATTTTAGCCTATTTCTGAGTAACATTAAAAAATTCATAACTCAGTCAAAATCCATCCAAATTATGTCAGACTAGCAAGAAGTACTCTATTTTACCTGCTCGATGTGAGTTTTTACTTAAGAGTAGTAAAAAATATCGCTGCAATGCGGAAGACTTCTAGAAAACTTTTTTAAAACCCAAAGTATTTTCTGTTGATTTGTACAGCTTTTATTGAACTTCATAGCATAGAGCAGGTAAAATAGAGTACATCTTGCTAGTCTGACATAATTTGGATGGATTTTGACTGAGTTATGAATTTTTTAATGTTACTCAGAA